ATTTGGACTAGCAGATACACTCTCTATTTACAGTGCTGAGTCTATTGCGATAAAAAAAACCTTCTATGGTAAATCCAGTTCAAACGGTTTCTATTATGTCAGATTCGAAGTCCGTTCTGCAAGCAATTGAAGGATCTCCAATAAATATTTATAATCAAGAATTTATAAATATTTCTTATATGGGTAAATGGTCACAGCGGTATTATAGGTAATGAAAGGGTGGATTTTGAAGCAAAAAAAAGCTTGTAAATCAGATAAATTTGTAGAAATTTTTTCTTATTTCGACTTAACTACTAAACTAAAAAAAATACTGTTAAAAGGTCAAGATCGTACAATAATTTTAGTAAAAAATCGAAAAATCTTTATTTCCAGATTTACCCAAAGCTTCCAAATAGAATACCGGATATACCTTTTGATTATATAAAAAGATAGACTTCAGCAGTAACACTCTAAAAATTGAATCATGACCGTTTTCCGGCGCACCTTCATAAATTAGAGATATCAACTCCCCGTTATGTGACTGTGACAACATGTTAATAAGTAATAATAAATATTAACCACATATTTCTGGAGTGTAAAAAAATGATACGGTTATCTCTAGACTATATAATTCTCTAATAGAATACACTCCTCTCCCTCTCAACATTTGTTCCCTGTTATCAAGCCATAATAAACGCGTTTTAGATGCAATAATGAATTACGTTAAAGTAGCTAAAATCAATATTTAACCTTATAAGCACCTGATATGTACCTATATGTGTATGAATAAAAATAAATCCTGTGGCTAATAGACTATGTCTAAGGCAATCTCTTTCCTCTACACACACAATGTCATTATAAAAATGATTCAAAAATTAAAATAATGTAATTACAATGTATTTATTAACACCAAATACATTAAGAACATATTCTACTTCTTCTTTTTCTTCTTCTTTGATTATCAAGAACAGATTTAGGCGCTGGTAGCACCCATGACAATTTTCTGATAGTTTTTGGATCTTATGCTGCATGTACAGCTGGTTCCTAAAAAAACTGATACGACTCATAGTAGGATTTGACCAGTTTAAGGAGTGTATTTTATTATTCTGATATTATATTATATTTGCTATGACAGACAAATAAAATTAACAAACAAACAACAAACAATTGTTAACTTATAATATGTTAAACACATCAAGTTAGAATCTGTGGAGAAGCTATCAACATATTAACCAGTGTATTAAAATCGGCGTAGGTGGGTATGGCTAACGATCATACCAATATGGCCGTGGGATCAGGGCTAGACTCAATAATATTAAAACTACTATACAAATATGACTCCTTATTCAGAATATTTAAACATAATGTACAAAAGTGCAATACACTTTTAATAAACTATGATTTATTTATCGCACGGTAAACACTATAAACACGATATAATATACATGAAGATAAATTATTACAGTCAAAAAACAAGTTATAGCTGAAATATTATTTATATTATTATCTAATATTTTAAAGAGTAAAATGAATATACGGTATGAAATAACAGTACATTATCTTATAACAGTTATAAGATTTTTTATTAATACCTACTATTAATTTATTCTCTGAAGTACGGGCCATTACTTTGTTTACATATTTGTATACTAACCTGTGGAACGTTATTCCTGAAGATTTTTTATTAACATTGCTTCTGTTACTGTAACTGCGTTGAAAACAAGAAACCATTATTATGCACTATCACAATACAGTTTCTATAAAAGTAGTATAAAAGTAAAAATATTCGAAAAACAACAAACGTAAACAATCATACACGATCTGACATAACGATCATACCAATATGGCCGAAGTGAGGTCGTTTTTAGTCACGTGATGCCTTCTCCGTATATTTTAACTCGATGGTTAAACACATGTTAATTCATAATTGTAATATTTATTAAGTTTAAAATTTTGATATTATTTTGAATTCCTGCATTTTATAAAGAGTATATAAATGATAGTTTCGACACAAAATAGCGTTCTTGTTATTATGTTTATTATTATTGAGGAATAACACAAACGACTTAACTCAACAATATATTAAAGCAAGAACTGCAACCAAATTCAAAGATAAATGGGCACTATCAGAGGCAGCAAAACATAAGCAGAACCACAGTTTTTCTAATAATTAAAAAAAAAGGGATCAAGAAACTCTCATAAGAAAGCAAGGCTCTGGAAGACCAAAACTATACTAAATTTAGGTATGTAAAATTAAAATTAATATTCTGTAATATCTCCATCGGTATTAATAACAGCTTGTAGTCTTCGGTCCCTCTGCGTAAAAGGAAGTATAAATTTGTCTTTTTCAGAGAGCTTTGTCCAAACCTGTTGTATACCGTGCCACAGCTCTTCAGCATTTTGAGGTATAAAATTACGCCGATACAACCGTTTTATAACAACCCCCACATATTCTCGATTGGGTTTAAATCTGAACTGTAGCATGGCCATGGTAAGGTTTCGGCATTGTTATTCTGGAGCCACTGGTTTGTTATACTTGCAGTGTGAACAGGACAATTATATTTTGGAGAATCAAATTATTTTCCGGATAGAACTATTCTGCACTAATTATATAATAAAGATATTCAGATAAGTCTGCCAAACAAACCTAATATCAATTCTTCTTTTTTTGGCATCATAACCCTGGATGGGTCTTTGCCTGTCTGGCTATGTCCTTCCATTCAAATCTCTCTTGTGCCCTTCTTCTCCATTGTCTTATGTTCATTGTTTTCAGGTCGTCTTCCACGTGATCCAACCGCCTTCCTTTTTTTCGCCTTCCTATGGGCTTCCATTGTAACAGTTTCTTTGTTGTTTTTGCATCGTTTTGTCTCTGCACATGTCCCAGCCATGATAGTCTTTGACTTTTCACAAATCTTACAATGTCATAACCTTCATTTAACTCATTAACCTCGTCGTTTCTCCTGATTCTCCATGTGCCATCTTCCTGTTGTACCGGGCCATATACTTTCCTCAGTATTTTTCTCTCGAATGTCCTGAGTTGGGCTTCATCTTTTTTCGTCATTACTCAAGTTTCACATCCATAGGTTGCTACGTGTCTAATCAGTGCTCTGTAGATAGTCATTTTGGTTCTTTTGTCTAATAATTTCGATGTCATCAATTTTTTATTAGCATAGTATGTACTATTCCCGCTGGAAATACGTGCATTAATTTCGCTACTTACGGAGTTCTTCTGATTGATTTCTGTGTCGAGATATGTAAATGCATCCACTCGTTCGATAGTATAGGTCTATTGTGATATTATTTTTATTGTCAGTTATCCTTTTGACTGTCATATACTTCGTTTTTGCCTCGTTCATTTTGAGACCTCTTTTTCTTGCTTCAGGATCAATTTGTTTAAACACTTCCATTAGTCGTGGCTTATTCCTATTAATGATGGCTACATCGTCTGCATATGCAGTAATTTGTACTGATTTGGTGTTTATATGGCCGGTTATATTGGTTTTTCTGATGACTGCCTCAAGAACTAGGTTGAATAGCATGGTTGATAGGGCATCTCTCTGTCTTACTTCCATGTTAATGTTAAATAGGGGAGTCAGTTCCCCAACTACTCTGACTGCGGCTTTTGAACCCTGCAACGTCATTTTTATAAGGCTGATGTATTTCTTAGGTATACCTAGATTACAAAGATCTTCCAGCATTCTGTCTCTTTTCACACCATCAAAAGCTTGTTTAAAGTCTATATACATATTATATAGGTCTATGTTGTATTCATATGCTTATTCTTGAATCGTTCTTAGTATGAATATGTTATCTGTAGTGGCTCTATTTTGTCTGAATTCATTTTGATAATCACGAATTATATTTTCGGAGTATTCTAATAATCTATTGTAGATTATACCAGAAATAATTTTGTATATTACATTTAGCAATGTAATTGGCCTATAATTCTGGCATTCCCTCTTATCTCCTTTTTTATATATTGGCTGTATGAGGCCAACTTTCCATTCCTTTGGCATTTGCTCCTTCGTCCATATTAATGTTATTATGTTATCACCTAATATCAATACGCCATACCATTACCATTCCTCTAGATGAAATCCTTCCTCATAGCATTCATTTTGCCATTTTTAGAAGATTGAAAAATTTTTGTGTCTGTTTTTATTACCCCGTCCCAAAAATCTTGATTTTGTAGCTGATTGTTTAAAGCAAACATAAGTCTTGATTACATCTGTTGTAGTGTAAGAGCTTGTATTTTTGCTGAAGTTTTGTGGTAACTAAGACGCGATTCTTTTATTCTGCTCTAAGTTGTTGTCTTTCTTCCCGGAAACTGTGACATAATTCTTGCAGTTTTCGCATCTTCATAAACGGTAGATATTTTTTATTTTTTTAGTGAAGACTCGAAAGTTTCTTGATCTTTTCATCTTTTAATAATATTAAAAACTATTGTTCTGCTTACATTAGAATGGCTTGCTACGGCAGATGGTAACCAGCCATCTTTTAATTTCATTACAATCTTGCTTGTAGTTCTTTGCTAGCAGGTGGAGCCATTTTTTGAGGTTGAACAGAAAAAGTTATGTGACAAATTTTAAGATTTGGTAGTGACAGTGACAGTATGTATATAATAAGAATTTGTTCTTCAAAATATACTGCTCAATTTGCTACAAAATACTCTTTAAGAGTCGTATCATTTTTTTTAGGAACGAGCTGTATATTGTACATACTCTACTGCTTTTAAAAAAATTCGGAATCTGCCACTTGGTGATCTATATATTTATGCCACATATAATATTTGTAATTCAGAAAATACACTACATCGTTTTATATATATTTTTAGAAGGTGAATAATTAAGACTATTACTTTTATTGCTTTGGAAAGAATATCTCTTATTTTAAAACGTATAGTTTCTTTACTTAAGTACAATACTGAGGTGTAGTAGTCATTTACATAAGTAAAATCTTCTATATTTGTTATTTCCTCCTCTTTCAACCAATGTTTAATACAGTATATTTACAAATTTTAGGTGTTTCAACAGCTGCCAGTCATCCACATTTTCTTTATGGAGATAAAATTCTTCGAGATTCTGTAGAAGGACTAAAACCAGATAAAGAAAAACATACATCTTTTATAGAAGTTGAACCCGTGAGTATAAGAATTAGGTTTTTATAATACATTTTTTAATTAATTCTACGTAGACTAAACTAGTGAGTAATACATATATATAATATATATATATATATATATATATATATATATATATATATATATATATATATATATATATATATATATATATATATATGTATATATATATATATATATATATATATATATATATATGTATATATATATATATATATATATATATATATATATATATATATATATATGTAAGAAATACTGAATATTATTGACTGGCGATATAAACAAACAACACAGTTTATTAGGGTTGCAGTCAGAATATTGGCCGGGATGTTAAATAAAAAACACTCTTTTGACTTTTTGTCGAGCTTTCGGAATGATTTTATTCCTTTTTCAAGACACTGTAAAAGACAATTATGTAAATATTTAAAAAATATCACAATTCTTCAGTGTAACTTACTAGTCGTTGAGATTATTTTTGTAAGCATTGAACACTCAACATTTATACAACACATTAAAATATACAATTATGGACATATACATCATAAAATTTTTAAAATTTGTTGTAAAAATAGTAAAACTTGATTGATGGCATGTTTTACTGGTGTATATTAACTCATACAGAGAATGGAAAGAAAAAACAGTGTATTTAATATGTAATTAGGTGTAAATTGATGTTATCTTTCTTTACAAGAAATACTATATTAGAGCCTCTCCTTAGGTGTCTATCCTATTTTACACCTCCACCATTCCAGAGATTTGTGAGCTACCCACTTTTTTGTAGCCATTCTTGTTCTGACTTTGCAACGCCGCAGAAGCGTTCAAGTCCAATAAATGGCGTTGATGAGCCGTGTTTGGCCATTTCATTTGCTTTTTTATTGCCCTTATTACCCTCGTGCCCTGGTACCCAGGTTACCGTAACCTTGCTACAGAGTCCTAGTTTATTTAGGGCACACACGCAATCATATACTAGCTTAGAATTGACCTCTACAGAATTGAGTGCCTTAAGCGCTACCTGACTATCTGTGAGGATGGCAACTGAACAGAACGTTCTTTCCTGCCTTTCTATTTCTTTCACGCAGTAATGGATTGCAGATATTTCCGCCTGGAAAACTGTCACATCCTAAGATAGACTAACCGGGAAATGTATCTCTTGATTTGTCCCTACTATGCCGGCTCCAACACCTTCCGATGTTTTTAAGTCATTCGTGTAACAGGTAGCAGCAGCTTTTATAGGTACACCTTTATTTCAGTCTTCCCTGCCTGGTATATTAATTGTGAATTTTATTGTTAAAGCAACATCTAGTTAAGTAGCTGTTGCATCGATAGATTTCCTCATCACAATATCGGCTTTTACCTCCTCGATTAGCTTTCTCTTGTCAGTACCATGCATCTGGCTTATATGTCGCTGACTATGGATTAAGCTGTGCATCATTAATCTGGCTTCACCCTCTATGAAGATATGGAGTGGTGGTAAATTCAACAGGACTTCCAACAATGCAGTAGGAGTTGTTTTTATGGTCCCCGTAATACACAGGCATGCTAGCCGTTGTGTATTACCTATCAGCCTTATTGCTCCCACTTGCTGCTTCTTTGTCCACCACGTCACCGAGCAATGGATTATCATGGGTCTAATAACCCTTGTTTATAACCATATAATCATTTTGGGGTTAAGTCCCCAATTCTTACCGCACAATATTCTATATCTGCCCAAGGACACAGTAGCTTTCTGTGTGGTTTTGAGAATATGAGTATTCCATGTAAGCATGATCAAAATATACCCCAAGGTATTTTGTTTATTTGGCAAATGAAATCTTTGTTTTTCTCAGCACCGGTGGTTTTAGGCCTTGTAGTGCTGTTTTCTTAGGAAATTGAAAATTTCTCGATTTATCCTAGTCAATATAGATATATCCAATGTTTAATATACAAATCAGTACATTTTATACTTGGATAGAGATAACAATACTTATTTAAAATTTTATTTGCTTTTTTTTTGGAAAAAATCCATAATACAACGAAATATTTACACATCTTTAGCTTTATCCATTATGCTTGGATAATTCTTACTCTGTTCGGGTAGTGCACCGTAATATATATATAATATTAATTATAATTTGTACTTTAATTTTATTATTATAATAAATTTTAGATCACTGGCGTACCTATCATAGCTGCAGCACGGTCTCAGGTTAACCTCGTTGTTAAGAATATGAAAGGCTTCAGTGAGAGACTTAATCAATTTAGTAACTTGAATATACCATTGGCCTGGATTGAAGTGGTAAGTTAATAAAAGAAATATGTAAACAAGCGTTGAGATTGCAATATTTTTATTTATTTAGCTCTGCCGCTTATGAAATAGAGAGTCGTATATGTAGTTGGAGCGCTCTTGATGTTGATTATAAAAAAAAATTACATATTCTGCAATGATAAAGTACATATTTTTACTATAGAGAAACTGATGACCAAATTTAAATGAAGCTGAAAAAATGACTAGGATTAAGCCGGAGATACACATGCCTGTTACTAGCACAATTGCATACCAGTACCTAGCAAGCACCCGCTACTGTCCCCACACTAGCAAGTGTGTACGTTAACTTGCATTCTAGTTCCTGGCATGCTAGATAATCGCAAAGAATTTAATTTTTTTTGCTGGTAGCCTGCTGTGAGATGCAAGGCACTTGCGTGGGAACTGTCACTGGCAAGTGTGTACGCACGCTACCGCTACGGTTATGCCAGTCGCTAGCAGAGAATTGCCAGATTTGTTGTGTTGGTGATAAAAAGTATTCTTTTATTTTAAATTGTTTATTGGATATCCAAATGTTTCGTTTGGATGATCGAAAAACCATCAAATTTATTGCTATATAGAGAGAATTGGAGTGTCTTTTAAATTCTAAATCATCTCTATATAAAAATAGAATTTAACCCGTGACAATGCTTACACAAAAATTCAACAGTAAATGGGTGAAGGTATTACTATAAATGAGATAAAAGCCAAAATAAAAAATTGTTCTCAGATTTTCTCGCATACAAGTCCAGTTTCTCACAAATTTTTAACAATATGTGTGGTCATTAGCAATATTTGGTTAATAAATTCATTCCGAATACCTTCCATGGATACCCTTTTTTTGTTGGAAACTCAAAAACTTTTAATTACAAACAAGTACTTTAGTTTTAGATGAAAACCAGTCAATTGTTTATTAGCACTGGCATTTGTAAAAATCTATCCTGCTTTTTCGCCTTGCCAGTATAGGCAAGCGAGCTACTGGCATGCCAATTACTAGTAAATATGTTTTTCGCTTGCCAGTTACTGGCCTATGCCATTAAATGACATGCTAACTACTTTCCCAATTTATTGGCATGTATGTCCCGGCTTTACTTCCTTGAAAGATGTTTAAAAACTGGAGCAAAAACGTAAATTATCTGCAAAGTCCATGATATGATTTTGAAAGAATGGAGTTTAAATGCGCGGAAAGTTACTGACTTTCTACTGATAAAAAAGGATTGTGTTGGTAATACCCTGTATTAGGAATTAAATAATATTTGAAATAAAACTTAAAAGTCGCTGGTTAAATGAATTTAGAATGATAATCAAAGAAAAAAATGCAATATTTTGACTATCGATAAAAGTCGCGAAAATAGCAAATATTGAATTGTGAATAAATTACGAGTATTAACTAGCTTTAACTTATTACTGTTAACTATACAAAGAACGTATACTTACCTTAAGAAATATTAATGTGTTCGTAGCCAGTGCATTAGCGTTGGTACCACATCACGATGCTAAGGGACGCCGGGCGCCGAGGCTCAAAAGAGAACTTAACCTATATACTCGATGTTTTAAGTACGCTGTCTCGTGATAAAGTGTTTCTTGAGACGGTCAGAAAGAACGCTCGGACCGTTGGGTGGTTCATGGGACAAGTGCATCTCATAAATAAATCCTATTATAGGGCGCTTCTGAATAGCAACAATCCAACTCAATAGTCACAGTAATATGATACTTTACACTTTTGGTGTGTATTGGCGGTACAAAAATAATAAAAGAGAAAGTCAAGTTCTCTGAACTTAAAAACAGAATAAATGAGCTAGCCATTTTAACAATGCGATTTTACTAACTTAACAGGAAACAATAGATTTTAAATCAAATAAGTTAGAATGTACCATTAAACTAGATCATATTATAGTACAGTAAAAGCACGTAAAAAAAGTAAAATATGAAAATAAATGCTACATAATTTTCCAAACAAATAAAAAAAACTGTTGTAAGATACGTGTCTTGTACTGTGACTGTGATCACAAACACATTCGCATTAAAATTTTGCTAATTAACAATATTAAAACAGGTAAATATATTTAGAGAACACTACTGTTGTGTTTTAATAAATCTGGACAAAAACCTTTGTGAAAATAAATCGGTAAAAACCCGAAACCATAATCACAAAACTTTATAAGAGAATGGCCACATCTACCCCAATTTATGAATGTAAAGCTGACGAATGACTCAAGGAGATTATTTTCGAATTTAAGCGAGCGAATTAAGATTTATCATAACACGAGTAAATGGCAATACAAGAACATAAAGATAAAAATCTAAAGACGTGATGGAAGAATTAAAAATCTATTTGATGAATGGTAAAATAAACGAATACAAAACAAAATAAAAACAACATGTAAACAAAATTGAAGGAAAAGTTATTACTGCAAAAGGTATTGCAAAGGAAGAAGAACTGTATGAAATAAATACCTTAACATGAAAGAAAGAAAAAGATTTAAATCTCACTGAAAGTGAGTTAATAAAAGCTACAGTTTTTGTATTGCGTAGAGGCATATTTATTTTATAAGTTTCACAGATAGTAATTTATATGTAACTTTTATTTTGTAGTTTATCTTTAGTATAAACTGCTATGTCAGGCCATATGTGCCAAGAGAAAATTGAAGGTAGTATTTTATTAAAATAAATTCCTTGGTCACATTTATTTTAAATTCCAGCATTATGTTGGAAGCAACAACAAATTCCAGCAAACGAAAGAAATACGTTTGCCCTGCTTTACTTTCGTTTATGTTTTGTCTTCCATAGATGTTTTCCCTTTAGATTTTCCAAGCGGGCATGCCTTTTGTAACAAAAATATTTTTGCCTACCACATAGAGTATTAATACAAGGGGTAGAAAATTGGGGACTGAAACTAAGGGGGTAGATATAAGGCAAGCAAAATAATCGCTACTTGTGCGAACGACACTCAGGATTTGTTAGGAGAGCTGAGGTCGTGGATAAGTAAAAGAAGGGGGTGGAATGTGGCAACTACAAAAAAATGAAATTAAGAGTCATGAACTTCTTGGGATAAATAAAGCAAATAGAAACAGGAAACACATCTAGTAATTTAATATAAGGGACTTGAGGTGTCTAATTATACCTATTAAAACCACTAGTTATAACTAGGGAAATAATTATCAAACATCAAAAACATATCTTTTCAAATAAAACTCAAAAATAAGGATTATTAAAAAAAATAAACAAAATGTTAAGAAAACAAAATTTAACTAATTTATTGTGTCTTATCACAAACAGTTACACAAATACAGATGACACAAAAAATAAACTATATAAATAGTTGTAAAATACACAAATACAAAGAAAAACTTACATGTTCATCTGTTTACAAAAAAGATTGATACAAAATCTTTCAAAATGGCATAGAGGTTAACCTTCTTTAAAAATAAAATAAACTAAAATCAAAAAATAATAAAATGTTCTGTCATAACTTAACAATAAATTAAAAAAAAAACATCACACAAATTGACAGCTAAAGTCAAACTCTAAAATTTTATGATTTATTAATTATTATTAATCCTTTAAACTTCAATGAAAGCAATTATTGTTATTTAAAATAACTTTGCCACTTAACTTTGAAAAACTTGCTACTATCTCTGGGATTGGAACTGCAAGGACAAAACTCTCAACTGGAACAAAAGGAAACCATTTCCATACTCAGGAACGCAGATCTGACGTAGACGGGGTTGGATCAAGCAGGCAAATGACAACAAATCTGGTGGTATATCCTATAAACTGCTTCAAAATTCTACCATGTTCTGGTATACTACAAAATTTATTTTCCACTGCTACATATTTCCACAAAAAGGGGCCAAAAACAGAAAACTACAAATTTGACGGTGAGTTTGGATTTATACTGAGCATACAGCGACCCAAGTAAGAATTGATCCACACCTGAGTTTACCGCGACCCAGGTAAGAATGACGAAATTCTCTTAAGAATTCGTTCACTAACTTGAAAATAAACTAACGCTGAAATAACAAAACACAACGAAAATTAAAACGTAAAAGATTCTATTTCTACGACGTACAAAAATTATAAGGCGACTTCGAATAAAACATTAAAAGAAAATGCCGAAAAAGTACTTACGCAAAAATTATATTTCGCGGTGTTTTAAACTAATATTTTTTTATTTTTGTTTACAAGAAACAAGGAAAAAAATGAAAATATAATGAAAATAAAAAATATGACATTATAATACAATGATACGATGATGATACTTCATTCAAGCTTTGGAAGGTTTCTATTTTGTTCTTTTTTAGTGGGTTCAATATCCCAATCATAAATCACCTTGATTAAAGCATTTATATTTTAAGGTAAATGTCTAAGTATTAATCTAAAGTACTTTAAAAAAATATGTAACATCTTTTTCTTCAAGTGCTATCTCTGCGGCTGAGGTCGACAATTATCATAGGTATTCGGACTTTTGAGACGGCTGCTCTGAAAAGTTCATTTGATGTTCATCCGTACAACTTTGCCGCCTCCCCATGCTTCTCTTTCCTTGGATATTTTCCTTTATAATCAGTTGGAGCAAGGTGTATTTCTCTCCACATGTCCGACATATTCCAATTTTCTTGTTTTAATTGTATTTAAAATTCATCACTCTTAGAGAATTTCACTCTTCTTATTTTGTTGAAATTTGCTCTAGCCTTTTCTATTTTGATTTTGATCTCCTAAATGTAATCATTTGTGAAGTTAATCATTGGTCCCAGATATGCATATTTGTCCACTTGTTCGACGTTGGTTCCGTTTATTAGAAGATTCTCGTTATTTCTTTAAGTTTTCGATAGTCTCATAAATTTCGTCTTCTTGACGTTCATTGTTAGACCTAATCTTTTCTATACTCCGCTATTCTGGTCACTATTATCTTATATCTTATTATATTAACAATATACAGTATTGTTAATGGGAACACCATTTACCTTTATTCCAGCCGTTTCACCCTTAAAAGA